TATGCTCTCTGAGGCTTTCACAATGCAAGCTCACCAAATCATCCTACATAGCAGCCTCATCTGAACAAATTATGAAAGCTTATTTTCCCTGTAATGAGAAATACCTGCAAATGAAGTGAAATTTATTAAAATGTTAAAATGCACTGTCAACTGTCAAACAATTATCTACTTAAGCTTTTCATAAAGAAATAATTGTTACCCAAAAGAATTCTGAAACTCAGTAACTGAAGGAAGAAAACAATTCTTAGCATTAGCTTCCTCACTAATGATACGTGACAACCAGGAAGGATTCTATTTCAAAAACAGTAATAATGATTACAACCTCCCCTGTAAACAAGTCACATTTTTCACAACTTCAAAACCTACTTCAATCATTATCATATTTAACAATCAAACAACAAAAGCTACCATTCAACGATGGATCATACTTTCAAGGTTCCATAAAGTTAAAGTAAACGATGTTTTCATGCTAGCGATGAGGTTTTCTGGACTCTCTTTAGCGCTCCAAAGCATGTTAAAGAAGAGTGCAAAGTACAGTGCAAAAATCAGTTAGGCTGACTTGGTTTAAACTCTAATCTGTTAAACTCATAGCAACAGTTACCATCTCTTGAGATCTTTAAACTTCTTGCTGTGCTGTGACACATCTCTCTCTCTCTCTCTCTCTCTCTCTCTCTCTCTCTTCTCTCTCTTGCTCGCTCGCTCGCTCTCCAAAACACTTCCCTGCCTCAGAGAAAGACCAGTCCCCCAGCACCCCCGCCTCTTTCCCCCTTCAGACAGGACACAGTCTGGTGACTCAAGGCATCCCATAGGCCAGACTTCCTTCTGTGCAGCCCTTTGGGTAGAACTGCTAATCCTTCTTATTAATTAACGAGATAATGGTGGTTAACCGGAAAGCAATATTAATGCTAACTATCTAGGAAACTTCAACCAAAATCATTTGAGCCTTTGGGTTGGTTGTTGCCAGCGTGAAGACTTGTGCAGAGACTTTGGCAACATTTGGATACAGGACTGAGAAATTCAGGAATGGCTGATTTGTAGCAGACCTTAACACACAGGTATCCTCATTAAGGTTTCCTTTCTTTTCACACTTAACTGCTATGCATTACAGGCTAGAGGGAAAAGTAAGTCCCCTCAACATGTTACCATAAAATTTGAAGTGTGGAAACTGAGGGAACTAGAGATTACATGAGAAACAAGCAGTGAGTGATGTGATTGAAAGCAACAGTCAGTCACAATGAATGCATTACATGTGCCTACACTCAGCATGTCCTCTGTACACTTATCATAGCATACCCTGCATCCTATGGGACACATACATCCCAGCAAGGTGTGGTGTGCAAAGCTTGCCTGATTTGGGGGTTGTTCTGTTTTGCTTTGCTTTCAGGAATGCAACAACAAAGACAATATGGGGAAGAGGTACCACCTGCCCAGAATCATTGGACATCTTTAATATCTTTGGGAAAATGGAGACTGCTTTAGAACTATTTTCCCTGTCACAATCTTTTTATTAAAAAAAAAAAAACCTTAAAAAAGGAAAGGTTTTATATTAGCTAAGGTTTGCTGCAGCAAACAAGCGAGCAGCTTTCATTCAGGGATTGTCAAAAACTTTCCAGTGTGCCCACTGCAATGCGGATGCCAACCAACGAATCAAAGGCATTCAGCAACTAGACAAAGAGGGTCTGATGCCAACCTCGGTGCCACTGGCAACCATTATTGGCATCAAACACAGTGTCTGCCTTTTTTTTTCCCCCTCGCCTGGCACTTCACAAACAAAATGGCGGTTCTTGTAGCAACGAAACAGCCGAAGCGCAGCCCTCTGAATCAATAACATCAAATGATTTTATGGATTGAAACACAGATAGTCCCAAATGATGTGTACCTTTTAGGTAAAGTGGGGAAGGGGGCATATAATCCTAATAAACAACTGTATTGAACATGACCCTTTGCTAATGTGAAGAAATAGTAAAATGGACTAAATTGCGGTCAACCAGACTATATGCACAGAAGAAGCTGAATAACAAAGAGATTTCACTTTAAAGAAAATAGTGCCCTGTGATGCAAAAGTCTGATGAACTATATATCAAAAATGATTTCAAAATGCATAAATTTTCTCCAAAACCATATCAGATGCAGATGTAGCACTACAGCTTGTGTCAAAGCTCTAGTAACTCTTTCCACATTTCAGAAAAGATGAGGCTGCTGGGCATGAAGAAGAAAAAAAATGTGGGTTGAACCAAAAAAGAAAGAGGGAAAAGGAAAAGCACAGAAGTTGGTCAACAATGGGACTTTATTACATGTTGGTCTTTATTTCATCCTCAGGAAGAGATGCAGTACGTGATCTTGTATAAATAACCAAGGGGACTATTGACATTTGTAGATCTGGAAATTGTCAATATATTGTAACATCACTCCACACTGCAATGCGGATGCCAACTAACAAATCACAGGCATCCTGAGCTAAACAAAGAGGGTCTGATGCCAATCCTGGTGCCAGTGGCAACCATCTTTGGCATTCTCTCTGTTCTTTCTCATGTTTTTCTCCCAGTCGTTCAGAAGTGGAGAGAAAGAATTTAAAAAAAAAAAAAAAAAGGAGGGAAAGGTAATTTCGTTGCTCATTCTGTGGCACACATTATATTTCTCTTTTCTGATATTTCTTTCATCTTTTTCTTTATATTTCTTTACCTGATTTATAAAATAGACTTAAGTGTATTTTCATGTACTTAGAGGAGAAATAAAAAGTCACAATGTGAGACATGCAGTCCCCTGACCACAGACTTATCTTTTAAAATCTGCCTTCTTTAATCAATCACACTGCAAAATGACATAATTAACCTATACTTGACAAAGAAAAAAAAATAAATTTTGAGAAAAAAAGGCAAGAGCATCCAATGTGAGTTTTTCAAAGAAAAAGTCAGCAGATGTTAAAGAAGAGATGCCACAGTGCCAGGTAGCAGAGGAGACAAATTAGACACACGGGGTCACATAATGAAAGGTTCTCACAAGGGAGGTTTTTGAAACAACAGCAAAATCCATGTTTTATCTGAAAATATGCTCTCCAAGAGTTGCTTAAAACTTTATGATTATCTGGACCGATGGTGCAATGCAGAAGGCATTTCTGCATTTTTTTCTCTTTTCAATCTATCTTCACAAATCCAAAAGATACGTTCTTTATTGTCAGTTCATCAAAACTAAGAGAGTTGGCTGCCTGCCCTGGGAGTAAATATGCATGCATGTGTACCTCAAGGACTAGCCTTTAAGCAAGGTAAAAACGTAAGCAGCAGTGAGGCGGCTGCAATCCTCCTTACCTACACTAAAAAGTTACAGGACCCTCTTTCTAAAACTTCACTTCCACCCTTTACCTCCACAACATACTTACAACACATTTATAGTCAATCCAACACTTATACACAGCCCACCTTGAACTGTCACCTCCTAGACATCTGTCAATCAAATGAAGTGTCATGTGTTAATGAGCTTTTATTTTAAGATGCACAGGACAAAAATATGTTTTCCCCAAACCATCATGACTTGGAATTCAATGTCCAAAAGCATGAAATAATAAAGGCAATGTCTCAATTTTTAAGAAAATATAATTTGTCCAAATAGGCGATGCCCAACTCTATTATTTAAAGTCAGACTAAAAAACTGAAAATTGCATTTAGGCATATCTCTAACACTGTATCAGCGAACATCAAAACAAAGAGCTTGTAGGAAATACCTTGGTTTCTGAGTCAAAAGAGTAATTCTGATACTTTATTTTTGGAGTGTTAATAAAGTTCACCGCAATTGATTAAATCCCACATTTATATAACAAACATCAGATAACCGTCTGCCACCTGGTTATCTGCAGGCCATTTTCTCTCCCACCAGGCCAAGTTCAGAAATGACCTGCCATCTGTGGCAGCTCAAACTTCAGGCCACTTTGGTATGCTGCTTTGTTAAATGATGTTTTACTACGAACTTTTACTAACGCAAGGATATCTATATTCTAGTGCACTCACTTGAAGAAGAGAAATTCTCACCTACTTAAGGAAAATATATTAAAAAACAAAAACATTAAATGCTTCATGAACGCAACAACATCACCTAGTTTGAATTATTCAAGCAACACTTGTATCACTCTAGTTATTGACTATTTTAAAACATAGGTTTGGTATGCGGTTCCTGCATGCTTTCTGAGATTCATTTTAAACCAGTGTAACCAGTCCACTTTCTCTTTTTATCCTGTAAGGTTTTGTAAGGAGAGCTGCACCTTTCCTCCTCCATAAGTTTTGTGAATTTACATTCAAATAAAATAACAATATTAAGTGTTATCAGGCCACTCTCAGAAAATAGTATACATTATCTAAACAAGAACTACATTCCACTCAATCGACAGTGAATATTGCACAGTCAAAAGTGTTGACAGAAATATTAAATCAGTCTACCTCTACATAGACTTTCTGATATTAACTGTATTAAGTAAGCATTTTGTAATAGTAAATATTAATTCTATTTTCAGGGCAACGAAACCACATTCGTGAACCAAGTTCATCCACCTCATTAGTTAAGAGGCTAACACAAAGATTATTAAAAGCGGTTTGACTCTTCATAAGTAAAGTTACATTTTTCAAATCGGGAAAAGATGACAAGATGCAGGAAATACAGCTTCGCACACAAAGTGAAGCACAATGAAATATATCTTTCCGACTAGCTTGTGCCTTTGAAAAAAAGTATATTATTTCAAAGAAATAATGGAATGCAACTGGAATATGCATCTCTTTGTGGTCATTCTTTGAAACACCCAAGCCTATCCAGGTATGACAGCTCCGGTATCTACATCCACGGCTCACACGTGGCCTTGGACATGTGAGTGGAAGTGGGCAGCACAGCACTCTACCTAGGGAGGGTGAAGGAGAACTAGGGGCCTCGAGGAACACGTAAGCCAAGCCAGATATTCCACATACGGAGGTTTGCAGACAGGGTTTGCCGTGCTAGAAGAAAGAACAATCTGCTCCTACCTTGCTCCTGCACGTAGTATGCCAAAAACAAATCAAGCTCCTTAACTGATACTGTGATGTGATGTGGCTGGACACAAAGTGCTGGGTTTGTGCAATGTGGGGATTTCATGAGCCGCTCTCCATCGGTACTTTCCAAGGGGATGCCTTTGAACAGGATCACCATGACTAGATCCAGACGCCAGACTTTGTCTGCCTGCCGCAGGCAGTCGATTCTCCTAATCTTACCCTTCTGGTCGGGATTGGATAAGACACAGCACGGGTGCTTCTTGCCAGTGACGGTGAGCACAAAGTCCTCTCGGTACTCCTGGCGGATATCTTTGCGCAGTTTGGCCAGGAGCCTGGATGCCCACTTCTGTTTGATTTCAGGCTTTTCACTGAGAAGCTCATCTTTGACTGCTCTTTCTTCGTCCTTCGACATTCGCTTCTCATGCTTTTTAAAGTACTTGCGTTTTCGAGCCTGTAGGTTGAACCAAGTATAGGCGATTGCACGGACATGTGGAAGAAGTGCCTCGATGAATGGGTGAAATTCATCCTGTGGAAGAGGAAGGGGGGCAGAGAAGATGTGCACAGTCAGTTTAATTTTAAAAGCTCAGGAAACAAGACCCCTCTCCATTCACAAGTAAGTACAAAAAGTTACGCATGGAAATCACATTCACTTCTCATTTAAAATGATGAAAACAGAAGGACAAGAAGTAAATAAGGTATGCCAAGCTGCCCCCTTTCCACCAAAATCACAGATCGATTCTCCCTCCTGCAAAGAAAATAAGGCTTAGATTTTGTATTTTCACTCTGGCCCCATCCCCCTCATTCCCACCCGAATGCCATGCACTGTACATTCTTTAAGATATATGCAACCAAGGTGCCTGGCACCTAATGCAATGTTTAAATATTTGATTGACTAACTAACACTGTGCAGTACCATTTTACAAAGAACACAGTGAGGTTTTTTTTTTTTAATCGGAGCAGAGCTGTTCAGAAGGCAGGAGCGATGCCATAGTTCATTTCTCTTCTCTGTGGCACAGAAACACAAAGCATATAGATGCTCAGCGTAATGCCACACAGTTCCCGCTTTTGGAGCATGCTCTCAGCAAGAGGCTGCTGGTGGCACAAAGAGCATGCGCCATTAAACTTGATCCATTTTCTTATCAAACGTCCAACATTCCAACACTGAAACAGCACCATTCCAAGAGTGGTAACTAGAGAAACCGGTATACAGTGAGAGAAAGTGGGCAAAGGACAGAGCTTGTCGTATCAGTGTCCTGAACAGAAGGTTTCCAGACTATGAGCAGTGCATTCTCTCCTTGCACCACCAACACACACACACACACACAGACACTAGTGCTCGCTCACAGATGCACACGCACGTGCACACACACACACTTGCATTTTTTTTAGAGAGAAGTTTTTAAAGCTAACAAAAATGAAATGAATGCTCTTCCAGCAGCTTCCTAGAGAATATGAAGCCCCACAGAGTCGGTTAATTTGTTAACCGATCACATGCGTATGGCAATTATTCTAAACCCCTTAAAATCAATCGGAGGTGAACAATGAAAAATGGCAACTTGGCACCAACTTTACATTCTTTGTGTCTCTGCATGTGGTGGCAGGGTGACACCAGGAGCGCACTGCTGGTCAGCAACGTTACTGCTTTTGTGGAATCCATTCGGTGTTATTTGCCATATATGATGAATTCTCAAGACAGGACTGTAGGTGAACACAGATCCGGATGTGCTTGTGGATCTGCACACGGGTAGATTCTGCAGCACCCATCTTTCAAATCAAGTCGTTTACCTTTATGCCTCTGCCTTTTTTCCTGCATGTTTCACGCAAGCCTCTCTCAAGGGAGGGGGCAGTGAGGAATGGTAGATCCTCTTTACCTACAGAACCCTCAGGCTCTTCCCTAATATGCTCAGTGTTTCATTATTCGCTGGGGTAGGTAAAACCTGTCTTCGAAGCCTAGGCCTCTTGCTGTTCAGAGAAAGCGCTTAATGTCCCATGCATGCACACTGGGTGAATGCAGCAGCCAAGATCTGAAGTGAAAGGGAACTTCCACTGTGACCACTTTCTGATCACATTGCCCATACTGTCATCCCAAATCCAAAAGAACTTTCCCTAATTGATGGCATCCCAAGTTACAAGTCACCCTGAACTATGGGGAAGAAATTTTCTGTAACCAGCAGACTGCCTACTTCAGTTAGGTTGAGGTGAAGAAAATACAACTAATGCCATTCGAATGTGGAAAGTGTCCCAAAAATTCCATATAGCCAGGAAGGCATTTTTAAGATGGAATTTAAGATTTGAATGAAAAAGACTACAACATGTTAGCCGTCTGCAGTTCAGATATGGAAGAGGTGTATGTCCCATTCAATCAATAACGTAGTTATCAAGTATCCTAACACACTGCTGTAAAACATTCCTACAGCAGACTAAGTATGAACCAAAATTTTATAACAATACAGAATGCACAAGATTACATCACAGCATGAGGCATAACCAAATGCCACAGAGGAAATCATTAAACCGATCAGTAGTTTCCAGCAGAGATTTGAACAATTCAGTTACTATGCGAGCACATTAAACTAGGCCATGGAAAGAGTTAAACCACAATCTGTTCTTTGTGTGGGAAGGCAGCCCTGCTCACAGCAACCACAGCCCATGATAAGACCTCCCTATCTCCACACACTTTCTGATGCCATGCTTTTAGCTTTCACTGTTAACTACAAAAAGTTTGTTTATCCCCCTTCAAAATATATGCAAAAGGAAAGCCTGCTCAAGGAAATGTGGACTTAAATGTGCTTGGGGAACTCACTTCCTATAATCTGACTTTTACTATGATTTATTGATATGACTAAAAAACATGCATATATGCACTCATAAACTAAAAACTTCAGACTGTAGAGAGCACATAGGAGGGAGGGAAGCACTGTATCACTCATTTTACACTTGCCATGTTTAATAGAATGCAATATTATTTTAAAGATATTAAACATTTCAGTAACATTTAGGGACTTATGTCCTGAAGTACTATGCTCACTGGCATTTCATTTTCTTATAAAGACATCAAACACAGTTTTGATTAAATTTGCTTAAGTCTCAATATTAGGCCAGACATATTTTCTTTCACAGAACAAATCTCAAAATTTTAATAGATAATTTTAAACAACCAGAATGCAAATAGGAATGTTGAATTTGGAAATGGTTAGCAATTGCAAAGAAAACACTATTTTCTAAGGTTACCTTGAGTTTGCTATCAGTGATGCCAAATACTGTTTTAAAACATCCATTTTTCTTTATTGATTAACAGAAGTGGCAAACTCTCTCAGGCTGCCAATTTGCCTTATTAATATATTTCAGGGCTTCACTGTTAGGTGGACTCCTTTCAAGTGACACACTGATTTGACAAGGAGACATACCCCCCAAAAGGATTCTAAGTGGAGATTTGTTATGTCACGTACATTTTTGCATTGACATGTCTAAATGTCATCTTCAAAATGCAACTGTTTCCTGATATTGAGTAGCAATATATTCCTAAGGGTTATAAGTGACATGGAATATGGAACATAACAACTGTTCTCATTTTTTAAAAAAGTTACTAAGGCATTCAAATGTTGTAAATAATGGGTTATCACAGTAATTCTAATAATTACAAAAATGTTTTTAAAGTAGCAAAGCACATTAGCAATTAAAGATCAAATGGCTCTATACAAAAGTAATGTGTACCTTACTCTCTCAGATTTTATTAAAATGCACTGATGTTCAGTAATTCTTTCCCTTTTAAAAGTTCCTTAGTTGGACTAAATTGATAAAATAACCAAGCCACAATTTTCCATTGTAAAAGTAAATAGTCTTAATTCTAGCAGGCATATTTATTTTTCTGCATAAAAGGGATGGAAAACTAGAACAATATAGAGGTGGGAGAGTAAATACGAGGTGTTCTTGAAGCATCGCTATGCAACAATAAACCATGAATAAAATATACCTTAAGAACTTGAAGGACAACAGAAGAAAAAAAATCAATGTAAATTAAGAGTTTACACTGTACCTTAAAAAAGCAAATATTAAATCAAATCCGATGGCTCTGAATTTTCCTTTAATATCTGGCGTATACTGATGTATAAATACCGATTTATATTGATGTACTACTACTGCAGCATACCATTTTGCTAAATATCCACTTTCATGGTAGCTCTTTTTAAAGTAAGGTTCTTTCTAAACCCTAGCTACCTTTTTGCAACTAAAGATACTTTTTGAAGTTTTCAACAAATTAACAACATCACTTTATTTTCTGTCTGCATCTACTAAAACAGGTTGAGCTACAGCTATCAGGGTTCTCCAAATGCACATCTAAACCATGGATCTGACACAAAAGTAACACTGTTAATGTACCCTCACTTTTGCAACACCTTACATTCCCTATAAAGTCACACAGGGATTAGCTGAGAATCCTAAAGCCAAAACTCCCTCGTTGGTATAGGCCTTCAATCCCCAAAACCATTTTGATACATCAGCCTAGCATTCTATTATTAACACAGTAGAGAATATTAGTCATTATGATTTAGTGTTGTAAGTATGTATCCTTGAATCCTAATGTGGTAGCTGAGTGATTATGCTGCGTATATGCTCCTAACATTCCATATGTCACAATGCTGCAATGTTTACTTTTAACTTAGGAAAAATTGAGATAAAACTAGTGGCTTTTTTACATACACACATAGAGGAAAGTAAAAATGCAATATAATTTGCTAGCAGTGTTTCAGAAAAGTCAACACTGGAAATATAAATACTGAAAGACGCACAATTATTTGGTTCTTTACAAGTGAGAATAAGTGATAACTGCATTGTGCTTTGTAAGTGAAAAGCTTACTGTAACTTGTTTTCTTTTATCTCAGTGTAAAAATAATATCAAATAGATGTGGTTTCCCAGAAAGAGAAAAATATCTGGCCAATGGGTAAATATTAAAGGTAACTTTTGCACCTAAAAGCAATTCGTTATACCTGAAACAATCTTATCATGCTTATTGGTTATTGTCATTCACAGCTTTTAAAATACAAATGGCTGGGCAACTCCTTTTTCTAGTTTTGTTAAATTAAAGTGCACGTTTACTTGCTTAAAATAGCCATATCTAAGTTAATCATACTCAGATGCCAAACAAAATATAAACAATAAAAAATGTGTCAGCCAAAAAGCTACAGGACTGTATCCAATCACTGAATAAGCCTTATCATTGTTTTCATCTTCATTCACAATTTATGAATGCCTTAGTCCTTTTGAATCACAATAGCTTCTAATTGTCATACAATTGAAATCTTAATTATTTGTCCATTGTAAAAATGCATCATATTAGACTTTAAAAAAATTTAACATCCCCAAGACTAGCCAACACTTCGTTACCTGTTTACTTTCATGCCAGTGTCAAAGAGAATTGTTATCTATTACCAATCTTGCCACGCACTTCTCAAAACTGAAGTAAACTGCCCGTTTCTTTTAAAGCTTTAAAATGCTGCTTCAAATAACTGTTCTGCGCTAGATAC